TACACAAAGACTTCACAGTAACCTGCATTGGCTTATTAATATTTTAACATAATGTAAACTAAATAATTTTTTCTCAATTCGACAAACACTTTTTAGACTTCTAAATGTCATCGTGCTTTTTTAATTAAAGAAAGAGAAGTTTCAGCAAGCACGAAGTAACTGTTACAGTTTCATGCAACAGAGTTTCTTAGACTCGGCTGCTACAAAATTTTCATAGCACGTAATTCCAATTTGCACTGTCCAACATGTGGGAATACTCAGATGTACTTTTCTAAATGGCCACGCGGCCCTAATTATTCGCTGGCATCGCCTCTAGCAATATTTTAGTAGAACTGTCAAAAACACTTGAAAATATTCAAAAAAAACATAACTTCGCTTGCTTATTGTCAAAAACGTTAGTTCATTAAGACCTCTTCTTCTAAATGGCAGCTTAATTCTACAACGACAGAAACAACAGAAAAAGTTTAGCTCAAATCCATTTTTAAATACCCGTGAGTCAAGCGTATTTGCAGCCGCAGTTTCGATGCTGAGATTCGCAGATTCTGTCAACCGGTTAGCTTGAGCGGCATATTTAGCTAATGAGATTTGATTCAGTAAATCCTCTAGCTCCTCCTGAAAATAATAACTAAACTATCATAAAACCTACAGATTCACAGCAATGGCCTCTAACGAGACTAAGCTGGAAAGCCCAAAAGTTTCAAATTCTTCTTCAAACATCTAGCAAACAAAGAGTTTATTTAAATAAACCAAAATCTAAAACCTTGCTCTCGAAAACAAGTGGATTACTGCCAACTTCACCAAAGATCTTGATCGTTGTCGCAGTTCGTTCAAATGCACGTTCAAAAAGCGCAGCAGCTTCATCATACTTTGACAGAGCCGCGCAAGCCTCGGCCATGTAATAACATCTGGAATACGGCAGTTCATATCAACTAGAAAAAGAAGAAAATTAAGTTCCTAAAATCCTCATAAAGAGTGGAGACAGTGGAATAAAGAGAAACGAGACAAGAAAATAAATAAATAATGATAAGAGTAAAAGAAAACTAACCGGAATGCAAGATAATATGCAACTTTTAGCTCATAAGCTTCCTTGGTCAAATGATCAGAGCTAATATCCGGTAAATCTAGAATCTCTTTACAATTTTCTATGGCAGAATCGTACAAACGAAGCATGTCCTGCGACTTAATTTTCTTCTCGCTCTGGCCCCTGTAAAAATAACGGTCGAAATTGAAATTAACGACGGATAAAATATATAAAATAAACAACTTGCGAATCACCTGACATAATTGATTATCAAAACATATCGTTCTACAGTTCTACTGAGACGAAGAAAATCAAGATAAGCTGTAATCTGTTGATTTTTAAAGGCGCTAGCGTCACCAATAGCAGCTGCCTTCTTGCTTTCCTCGTTCACCTTAGTGATTGTATCTCTCAAGCTGCTTAAAAGTTGTTCGTAAAGCGTGAGCTAAAAATTGCAAATAATGAATAACAACTAAGTAAAGGCAACCATTCCCTTCAAAATGCTCTATTTGTTACATAAAATTAGTGTCCTAAGAAGAGATCAATATTACTTCACAAAAAAAAATTTAAAAAAAATTTGAAAATATAGTAGGCCAACGTATGCCTCGTCCACCATATTTCTCTTAAATTAAAAATTTTTGGTTAAAGTGAAGCTAAATATTAAAGCACTAAACCTTATCCTCATGAGAGACTGTCGACTGCAACTGCGAATTGAATAACTCTACAGCTTGAATTAACTGTCTAACTGCTTCATTTGTTACAGAGATTCTTTTGCCAGCCCATGTTATTACAACATCTTGATCAACAACAGCTTTAGCACGCATCTCAGCAATTAATTTCTTTAAAAAAATAAATTAAGAATTAAAAACCAATGTTCCATCATCATTCAGTCTAATTAAAAAGCTACACCTCGTAGAAGGAAACTTTAAAGTTATAAGATTTTGAAAAATAATCAAATTGGTAGAATTACATCAAAGTCGTCCTGCAAATTACTCTCATCTTCCCCGATTTTCAATCGCATATTCATCATTTCCGACATCGCCTCGTCAGTATTTTTGTTCTCCCCGCTAGTGAACTCACAAAAGCGGATCTGAGGTTGTATTTCATGACACCTAATATAAATGAAGACAGGATAAGACAGGATAAACTTGTAAAGTTCAAAAAAAGAATTTAGAGGATCTAAACAACTACTGTCTCTACATTAGTTACTCATTTCAAGAACAAGTGACACGTACTAAAAACAAGATTTCGCGTAAAAAAACAACCTTGCGTTATACAAATTTGTTAGCTCGGTGTCTTTAACCACGCCTGATAGCTTCTTATAGATCGTCCTTGAAAAAATAAATTCTTAAAGATGATACGTACAATTTAAAGCAATAAGAAAATACTTTTAGAATGGTCGTAATAATAAAGCAAAAAAAACAATTACTTTGCAGTTTTCAGAAAGTCTAAGGCATTTTTATAGTTCTTTTGTTCAAACAACAGGCATCCAGTCATCCAGTTGTGATAGGCCTGTGCTTCTAATTTAGTTGCCGCATCTGTCTAGAAAAAGGCATTATAAAATGATGAAAAAACACTAAATTACTCAACAGGGTAAACGATGTCCAACCAAACAGGAACGCTAAAAGAAGAAAAATCGACTCTTCTACATAAAGTTAAGGAATTATCAGTAATTACCCGATTAGACTGCCGAACAATTGAGTCTAAATTTGACGTATGCTTCACAGCCTTACGTAACTTCGAAATCATATGAAAACGTTTGCGTGACTGGGCATCTTCTCCTGCTTCATGCTTAAGCTGCATGGCATAAGACCAGTTCCGTTCTGCATCAAATACAGCGATTTGTAAATATCTTAAAAGCAGACTATTAAAGCCACAGGCAAATTAAACTTCTATAACTTCTTCTCATAAAAACAGATATGTGACTCCTATGATAACATGAGTAATAGTGTCTGCCCGTTAAAGTTACTCAGCAAGCATAAGAAAAGACAAAAAAGCACTCATATCAATCATTTTTTTTCCAATTATAAACCATATAATTGAAAAGTGAAGAATCAATAAATATTATTCTAAAAATTTCAACTTTCCACTATTTTTCAAGTGCCCAATACATTTTGCATTACAAACTCTCCTGTAAACGTTTATACACTCACGACCATTACAAGACCTTGGGGAATCAAGTTTAGAAACATACCGTTCTTCCGAAACTACATCAAAAATTAGTTTTTTTTGTTGAAATTTTGCTGGGTGTTTCGGGACACTCTTGTGTATATGTGCGTAACCTAGAGATTTACGAATTCTTCGTACACGACGAGCACAGTAACCCCTAAATGATATTAAAATCTTTCAGCCATTTAAACTGCCAAAAGAAAAAGTTTATGAGTAAAGAAAGCTAAACTATCACAAACTGAAATTTTCTTAACGATTCATTAACAAAGACCAATTTGTGAACATTTGATGATCACATAGCAATGAACAAACGTGAAAAGATCACCTATATCTCTGGTAGTCACCGTGACGAAGTCCATGTCTTTGCTGGGCATCTTTAATTAGCTGCAGTATAGAAAGAGTTGTAAATGAAGTTAGAACTACATCGTCCTTCTGCCCAACTACAGCCATAATTCTGCCTAGAAAAAATTTTCTATGTAAAAAAGATATTCTCTTTTTGTCTGTAAAAATACGTCAAACGGCAAGACTTACATGCAGCGTTTTTTTTCTCAGTCGACAAATATATGAGCTACGAGAGGCAAAAAATGAAAGACATTTTATCAGAAGAAAAAATTGGTAGGATCAACAAAGAAAACTGAGTTCAAAAAACAACTTCAAATGTTTATTCCTACTATAGAATTTCCATATGCAGAAACAGTTGGAAATATGGCTAAATGCCAACCGATATTTTTTGAATTCAGTCTTTCAATCACTTTACATAACAGCTGCACAGCAGTTATCACCTGTGTTCCCACCAAAATTCGTCAGCTGTCCACAACTGGTCGATGAATCTGACGGTGACCTCCGTGATCCTTTTCAGGTGCTGAGCATCATGGTCAATGATCATCTTTTTGAGAACGGTGGTACAGCCGTAAGTTCCCACTAAATAGCCGTTTTGAAAACCTGTTTAAGCCACATGGTGAAATGTATCAGGCAGTTGTTTACTCCTTAACTATTAAGGAGGTATAGGCGATGCTTATAGAACCTTCATGTACTGTGGTTGAATCATTTATGAAAGCAAATAGCAAATGTCACTTATTTCGACGCTGCACCCAGCCAAATCTATACGGTCTCTCCCGCTAATTTTCTTAAAATATAACCCATCATCTAGCCTCTAGCCCTACCTGTCCCAGACAGCTTGCTTTTCCACACACGATCTTTTACTGCAGCTAATTTCACAAACATGGCTTTCTTTCGTAAGGATAAAGATTTTTTAACTCTAATTTGAGAGTTTATAGAAACAAATCTTCAGAGGCATCATCTGATAGCAACTTTCCCACAGATGCATTGAAAGTTAAAAAGTGGGGTTTATACCCTGTTGTAAGGCAAAATCATTCTTATTAAAATCGATGAAAACCACTCCAGTTTCTTCTAGTTGCTTCACAAGACAGTTGGGTTATTTACCGATTGCTAAAATTCCGGTTCTGTCAAGAAAGAATTGGAAAAAACCCATTTCCTGGCAACATGCCGAAAGTACTCTTGACTTTAAAAATCCCACGATTATGAGGGTTGGTAATTTTATTGCGTTTAAAGTCAAATCTCTTCTTGAGGTTAAAACTTTTCTGCGAGTAGCATATATGAGGACGACGAGGTATTTTTTGGTGTTGTATGGGCTAAAGTGGATTAAAATAATGTCAAATGTACTCTGTGCTTCTGGAAGGGCTGGGAACATGCTAATTCTACATTTATTGGTACTGCACAACAAATATCAGTTTGCTTCGTCTTGAATTTTCTAGACAGTTATCACTTGTTGTAGTTGTTCAAAAGAAGTGCATTCGCTGTCGTACCGGTACTCGACAGGTCATCAGACATAAACATTGTGTATGATCAGTCCCTTTGGAGCATCATAAACTACGGTAACTCGCTAACGGAGTTCAGAATTTGGGAGTTGAACTTTCGGCTTTAGGTGTACTGTCGGAATCTATACAGTTGATAGCCATTTTTGAATTTTATTGGAATAGATTTTGAAACAGTAAGCTTTTTGTTACATAATTTTTTCAAAAATATGGGATTGAATTGTTTTGGGCGAAAACTAGTGGGAAAGAAAAGCAGGCTGTAAAACAACCCACCGGTATATCCGAGAATCTGAGATTGTCGGTTTTCTTGTGCAAGTTTGTGTCAATATTGATACAGTACATTCAAAGCGCTTATGATTCACGACCTCTCTGAGCGAGAAAATAAAAGTATCAAGTGTAGGTTTGAGAATAAAGCACTTCATTTGAGTTTGGATACATTGTGGTTTGTTAAATTAAATTCATAATAAAAGCAGCCGACTTCCCCCACCATTTATCACTTCTTGTTGGTTGAAAACTCAGCCATTAATGATAAAAACCAATGACAGCAAAAGCGTATTTTGGTTTCATTTATAATATTTCAACGTTTTTCAAGTCCCGCAAACAATATTCATCTGTATCATGACATTACAGTGGCACTACTGCTGTTTTGACATCCATAATTTCTATTTATTTCTCTCGTATAATACTTTCAAAAAGATAAACCAACAAATTCGTATCCAGTGTTCTTTGCATCCAAATTTCTTATCAGTTATAAGGGGCAATGATATACTTTGCATCAACGTTTTCAATTTGAATGTTTTTTTTTTTTTTTTTTTTTTTTTTTTTTT